CCTCCCGGTCATCAAATTCGCTGCTACCTGAAGACTCATCATCGCTATTGAGATCATGTGCAGGGTCGTCATCAAGCACATCATTGTTCCATATTTAAATTTCTGGTATGCTAATGTTATTAGTTGGCTCTATTTCTGTTAAAAGTGCTTGAGCTGCCTGAAGAGCTCCATTGCAGTCTTGATCTTTTTGCAGTAGCTGTGCTAGTGGCACATCATCGTCATCACTTTCATACTGATCAGAGTCCCAGTTGTTCAACTTTGACCAGGACTTTTTTATTACTCTTTCTGCAACATCATACCAAGCTTGCTTTAATAGCATGATTGCATTTCGAATTGAAAAGGATTTCAAGCGAACCTTGAGGTCACCTCCTTCAGCAATTAATTGAGAAAGAAGCATACTTCTGTAGTTTAGCTTGGTTAACTTAATAGGATTCTGATCCATTGGTTGTAAAGTTGCTATTACATTTGGTGGAAAGAAAAATGCAATTATATTTCCATCGTCGCTTTGAAGTTTCTCAATTGGTGCATGAGCAGAGCAGTTGTCAATTAGCAAAATTGCCTTCGGAGGCAAATTATTTTCCTGAGAGAAACGAATCACCTGTGAATTGAAAATATTTTGGAATTACTGAACCAAAAAACAAAGTTTTTTCTTACCTCATGAATAAATATCTTGTGAAACCAATCATGAAAAATCCGAGATGTCATCCAAGCATTTTTTGAAAAGTTGTAATGGAGTGGATTATTGAATCCTTGGAAACTTCTTGGTTTTTTTGCTTTTCCAATTACTAATGGCATTAATTTATGTGATCCATCAGCATTTACACCAAGTAACACTGAAATTCGTTCCTTCTGGATTTTATACCCGGGGGCGGTTTTCTCGAAAAGGTAAAATAATCCGGTTTCATCTACATTATATATTTGTGACTCCATTAGCCCCATCTCATCGACTTTTGCACGAAATCTGTGAATAAACGGGGTGACTGAAGCAACATCACTAGAGAGAATCTCGCCACAAATTTTTAAAAAACGTATTCCGTGTCGTTTTTTAAATTTGCTAAACCATCCATCACTTGCGCTAAATGTACTTTCATCTTTATCGGGATATTCCACTTTGAATATTTGTTTGGCTTTCTCCTTTAGTATTGGCCCAGTTAATGTACACTTTTTTTCGCGTTGATTTAAAAACCACTTATAAAGACTTGCTTCCATTTTTGGATATTCAGCGATATGCAATGATTTTTTGTTAGCCTTATGATAGGTATTAGAAACAGCGCTTAAAATTGATGATTTCATAGATTTGATATAGGTGATTGCAGATGGCGCCACATCAAATTCTAGGGCTAACCGCTTCCCTTGAATACCTTGGTCAAGCTTTTCCAAGATCTGCACTTTGGTTTCCAAAGACAAAGTATTTTTCTTACGTTTATTTGGCATTTCAACGAACGACTTTTACTTTTAAGCAAACAATGCCGAAACACGTGCACGCGAATCGAATTTCAAACAAAAACTAACAAAAACTGTACAGATAGCGACGAAAATCCAACGACTACCGAGCGTAACATGAATAAATTGGGGATTCCCCTTTTTATATCTATTTTGCAACAAAAAAACAAAATACGCTCTGAAATTAGAATTTTCGATTCTAATTTCAGAGCGTATAATGTATTCAAAAAGTTGATTCTAATTTCTGGAAATTCTAATTACTAAGAGTTCTAATTTGTGAGCGTCTACTGTAATTGAAAATTTAAAAAAAAAACTTTATTTAAGTTTATTTTGCTTGTTGGGATGTTTTTGTATAAATTAAATACAAATAAAAGAGTTCCTACATAATGGAAAACTTTAACAAATTCAAGGAATATGTATTAACATGTATACCTATGTATGCTGTGCAAAAACATGAAATTAGAAAGCTTGTTTGATTTTAAAGGCGTTCTAAGCCAGTTTAATATTTTCCCTGCCCCCGAAAAAAAAATCGTTCGCAAGGAACTGAAGCAGCAACATTGCGAAAGAATATTTGGATTGCAATCCAAAATGAGAAATAGTAGCACTGACAAATTTGGTTCAATGAAAAGACCGAACTAGTTCATTTAGTTCAAGAACTAGTTGCCTAGTTGCAACTCTTAAAAAATCGAATTCAAATTATTTAATAAGCTAAATGAATTACTGAATGTGGTTATGTATTTAGGAGAGTTGCCACGTGTTTAAAAATTTAATTTATGTCATCAGTTAAAAAGGACTTAATAAGATTTTAGTTTGAAAATACCTTTAAAGGGGGTTGCAACCTGATTGAAAGGTGGAATTTATTTAAGTATTAAGAAATCTTTAGCTTAATTTGAACATTTAGAATCATTTGAAGCTTTCTGTTTAAAAACACAAACGACAATAACGAAAAATTGGTTTTATTTCCAACAAAATTTTGCCTTATTTCCCATTGCTTATTTATACTATTTGTAACAAAAACAGTTTAATGACAGAAGGAAAAATAACTTTGTTTATTCCAAAAATACAATTAAAAAAATGTGATATAATTCATACGAAGAAAGTAATATTCACAAAATATTTTTACTTATGTAAATTCTAACAAAATATAGGAAGAGTCGTCTTTAATAACTGCTCAACAAATTGCACATAGCGCTTTTGTAAGCATTTTATCTGCATACTTTTTAATATGTTGAAAACATTGCTGGAAAACCTGAAAATGTTTGCATGGAACCATGGCGCAATAAACAGGTGAGGTAATAAAACAGCTTTCTCGCTTTACTTTCTGTCATTCGGCTGCTTTATAGTAAAATTTTAAAGGCAATTTTTCAAATAAGGTAGTATCAAAATCTTTTTTCTGCTCTAATGACTTCACCTGGTATAATTCCGCCATGGCATGGAACAAACAAAAGTTGCCGTTCCTGTTCGCAGCATATAACACAGAGAATATTATTTTGAGCTTTATCTTCAGTTAAAATTTCTGCATTACTATTTCCGAACTGCGGATTTCGTTTACAAAGACGAAGCGAACATGTGGTACGAAATAGTTATGGAAAAACATATAAAATTTTACCTATTCTCAGACGTTCAAATTTGAACGTATACTCGGTACAAGCATGTGGGATGAATGGCGCAGTAAACCGGTGAAGTAATAAAACAGCTTTCTCGCTTTATCCTCTAACATTCCGATGCCTTATAGTCACATTTCATTTATTTCATTTTTCATTTATTGCGAAAAACATTAGTACAATAAGATCTACGATCTTTTATAGTACAACAAGTAACAGGAAGTGTCATTTTATAGGCAAATTTTCAAAGAAGGCAGTGTCCAAATCTTTTATCTCATTTTAATATTACTTCCCAGGTATAATTCCACCATGGGTGGAGTGCATGCAATAACACCATACGCAATAATTCCCATTACTTGGACATTAAAAAGCAGTCTCAGAAGTGAACTAGTGTTATTTTATTATTATTCTTTTTTCTAAACGGTTATAATGACAGCAGTGCATAATTGTGAAAGGAGGGGAGGGGGCGGGGGACGCCAGCGCGACGTCGAACGCGGAGCGGCGCGGGGCGGCTCGCGAACGCGGACCGCCGCGGCGCTGGGAACTTTCAAAATCCGTCCATTAACCTTGTTCATGTACTACTTTTTGTCAAATGTAACTGGGTGACTACCTAAATACAATGTGCACTATTTTGCTTTATTACTCAATTCTTAAGTTTAAAAGTTGGTCTTACTACTCAATGAGAAATGAAATAAAGCAAAATTGTTATTTCACATTCAATTGGGCAATAACACAAATTTGCGTTATTGCCGTTTGTGTTACTTCACCCCCCGCATGAGTCGTAAACGGCTGGATAGAATTAGATAAAAGTTTGAAATATTTTGTTAGGTTTTTTCATGGGGTTGCCATCTGTTGCGCAAGTTATTTAGGCTCAACAAATGTTATTAAATTAAAAAATAATATATAAATAGGTGGGGACCTTCGTTGATATATTTCTATTTGAAAGCCATTTCAGTCCTCTTTCATTTGATACCAAATTTGTTTAATTTGGATAATCGGTTTGTTTATTATTACGAATGGACTTTTATTTCGGGCTTAAAATATATTTGGCCAAGCTTAACAGTGATTACTGAATTAAAAAAATAAAAGTCCAGATTTTTCAGTTATTATTGAACTTTTTCCTAAAAAGTTTGATAAATTAAAGGTTCTTGTCTAGGAGGTCCTGAGATCAAAAGAATATTGATAACTTTACTCTACGGCAATATTTTGTCCCGGCCTTTTAAAACATCAAAAAAAAGCTGTTGTTTTCGGTCCCTGGTTTTCATGATCCATGCTTTTGTCAAACCTATTTTTACGATACACCATACCGTGTGGCTGAAAAATGCAAAAAATAAATAATTTATGTATCTTTTGACCTTAAATAAATTTTTATCAGATGTGGTATCGATGGGGACTTTTCATTTATAAAGACGTTCGCAAGATCGGTTCCAATTTTCAGCGTAATGCTAGCTAGTGTAAGCTTACCCCTGTTTATTGAGCTAACTTGACTAGGCTATTAAAGGTTTTTTTTTTTAATTCTCCTTGTGGTGCTATCTGAAGCAAAACCATAACTGAAATTGAAAAATCGAAAAACCGTTCATAAACTTAGCATAAGTTAATAATCAACTATGCGCTATTAAGTTCGCAAAGGTGAGACAATTTTTTTGCCGTAAGTCAGGATCTTGGGGTGCTTGGCAAATTCCCTATTTCGATTCTTGTTTTGCTCGACAAAACCTACATGAAAGTTCCCAAGTATTTCTATTTCATTGTCTTTTATAGCACTGAGTAGTTTAAAAAAGAATATAATTTAATACAAATATTGAATAATTGAAATAACACTTCATTGATTTAGCGAATTTATTTATCGAGCTTTTTAAAGCGCATAAAATCAATTTTGTATGCACTTTTTTGCGCATACAAACATGCATTGATCTGGTGTACTTATCTTCTTCATAAAATTTTTAATCCATATAGATTGCACGAGTATCAGCAGACAAGATACCATGCCTATCCTCAAAGTTATATAGCTCAACAGCAATACCAATTATACCGCCAACAAAATCGGTATCTACACAATCACAGTCACCACCATCTGCCGTACGCAGCTCATCAAATAGATTGCAGTAATAGAAGTAGCAGTCCGCAAACGCCTGTCTTTATGCCCGGCCGGGAGAAATTCTTGATAAATAACCTCGGGAAGCACTGTCGCAATCTGTGGAAAAACGATCTAAGGTCTCCTCCAATAATAACGTCATCGTCCACAACTGAAAAAGACGAAAAGCAATATATACCATTTAAGCCGGCGGACGGTGAGAATATATTATCTGACGCATTACACCAAACGGAGGAACGAGTCAAGGAACTATCCAAAGAAAATTCAAACCTAGATTTGAGAGAAAATGCTGTCGCCAATGAAGTGGACGCTGAACAAAATAACGCAATTTTATCAAATAAAGGCCAGCAGCTAGAACGTGAATGTTCGAAAAAGTTATGAAGTTAGGA